GAGGGTGGCCCCGTTCTCACCCGCGCACCACCACCCAGCAGCCAGCCCAACGACGCACGCGCCGCGCGCACGGTGACGGCGGGCTCGAACCACACAAACACTACTAGTTCTGTCACTCCCCGCGTCCTTTTTTGTAACGCTTGCAACACACGCGGAGCGGCATTAGTTTCTCTCTCTCTCTCTCTCTCTCTCTCGTTCTTTGCATATCGCACACAATGCACGCGCCGCGCACCCCTGTGGGCCGCAAGTGGAGTGGGCACGCATCCGTAGTGCTCGGGCGTATGTTGACCCCCACAAGGTCGCGTCAGTAAAGCACAGCGGGGAGGAGGCGAGAGCGAGGCGCGCAGCTGCCTATTATTAACACGCCGTTAGTAGCCTCGCCTCGCCGCGCTCCTCTTCCCCTATTTTACCATGTCACGTTATGCGGTAGAAAGGCGTAAGAAATATAGGCGTTCGTTAATTGGACTTGTAGTAACTGAATTATGTTTTCAGTGAAACAATGAATGTATCATCAAAGACTCTCTTTTTAAAACCTTGCAAGAGTTTTCTCGTTAAATTTGTCTAAGGTCTAAAATGATAAGTATTTTTGACGTTAATACAGTGATATTAAGTCTGAAACACTTTCAGTTTTCATTTCGTGTGTGAGCATACCTTATTTACTCGCCACATTCATTTCGTTACGGACCGCTGTGCTCTCTGTTTACGCCAGAAATTGCCTCGCGACATGACAAGACCTCACAGCGAGAAGCATACAGCCAGCTGCTGCTGCATCAGTGTCGAGGAAGAGGAATGAAAAAGGGGAAAAAAGGGGCACAGAAATAGTCGAATTAACTCATTAGGGTGGGGGCAATCTGGTCTGCCAACGCGGCTGGGAGCTGCGGTCTGGCTTTGGCTTTGGATAATGGAATGGAACAATCGGGGGGCGTGCGGCCCGTACCGCTGTGGTCAGTCACTGTTACATAAACACACAGTGAGGGGACGTGTAACGCGACAGGACCAGGACACACGCGGCAGTGTCCTTTCCCTGTCACGGCGTGACCTTGGCCCGGGCCGCTGCTGCAATTACATGTGCTTTCCTCGTAAGATGCGAGCGAGGCGAAGGAGGTAATTTGATTTCGTGGGTGATGTTTAGCTTTTATCCGCCCCGTACATCAAACAGCGACTACTACTACTACTAACTCCCTGCCGCTGCTGCTGAGGAGGAGGGGCAATAAAACGGAGACAAAGTCGTGGCGAGGTGTACGCGTCGTGCAACCGCCGGGGGTGTCTGTGTGCTTCAGAAAATGCTAACAGCCAACAAGCAGCAGCCCCGGCCGTTGGCGGGAATGGGGGAGAAAATCGGTAATGGCTGCGGGCCTCGGGGGCCGCTGCCTGCAGCTCGTGGTGCGGCGCGGGCCGAGGTGAGTGAGGCCAACAAGGAGATGAGTAACACGACACTGGCTAGCGCCGCTGGCACCGCGCCGGCGCCGCACCGCACGGCCCGAAAATTGCTGTATCGTGAGAAATGCCTCGTTGTTCGCCAAGGACGGCGCCGCCGGCCCGCCGCCCCAGTCCGCCGCGGCGGCCGCAGCCGCCCTACGCGACAGAGCACATTGTGCGGGGCTGGGGAAACTCGTCTGCAACTGACATTGTTTTCCTTACAACTTTGCTACAACTTTTCGACCTTGCGGGACGGACCTTGCGCTTCGGTTTGACCTCACCACTCACCGTTGTTCCTGTCATCGCCGTGCTATTTTTTTTCCGTTTTTTCTTTTCTGATAGTTTGTCGATGCTTGTGGAGCCCTCTGCCGGAGCCCTTTGGCGCCATGGCTCGGCTGCCCCCCCTGCTGCCGCAGCCGCCCCGAGCTCAGTGCAACCTGCGGCGGCTATTAGAATTAATTGATGTTACGAAATATCAGCTGGTTGGCCGGGCGATTGTTCCTATTTGGCGCTCAGCTCGGCGGTGCCTGCCCGCCTTTTCTTCCCTTTGCCCTACCTCGTGTTTGTTGTGACTCTGTTTAATAAGAGGATTCCGACTGAGCAGTGTTAGTAATTTCGCCACCTTCTTCCAGATGATGGGGAGTTCGACACGGTAGGGAAGGACTTTGGGTGAACTGGTTCTGCAATTTTTTTTTATGCCTGTGAGCCTGTGTCCGGCTGCCACTGATCGTCCGTCCCCCATGTCTTACGTCTGACCAGCACCCCTCTCTCTTCCTCTCACTCTCGCAGCATTGCCAAGCCAACTATACCTGCGTGCTCAAAAACAAACAGGAAATGCAACGTTGAAAACGGCGGGCGGGCAGAGAAAGTATGTAGCCGTTCTGTTGTGATGATAACCATGCTTCCTTCGAGTGCCATACGTACCATCGCCTGCCGTATACCGTCGTCCTTATTTCTTTTCTTGCCTTTTTTTTTTACCGCCGCTGAGGCTCTGGCGATTCTCTCGGACAGCAAAACGGCACCTTTCCGGCGGAACCGCGCGCGTGGCCGGGCCAGCTAGACGTTAGGGCATGCGCAGACAGTCACTCTCCCTCTGGAGATAAATCAGTCCTTTTTTTCCGCGTCCCGAAGACGGCTCGGGCGCCCGCGCGTTCACTTCTTGGGGGAGATGAGCAGCTGACCAGACCACGAGCCGCGGCGCGAGCACAACGCGCCATCCTGCCACTCCGGCTTTTATTGGAGCACAGAGTGTTTGCGAAACGCGTTCGGAATCCTTGGCATTTCAGACAAAATCCCCCCCGCGCCTGTCTTTTCATTCCGTGATTCTGAGACGTTCGTACTTTTCCCCCAAGTGCATGGCGAAGCGACACTTATTGCGACTCGGGTCTTGCCTTTACGACCTGCCGGGCTTGCCTGCTGCCGCCGCGCCGCCACCCGCCTGGGGCGAGGATTGACGTTTGTCACGTAGGTTAAACCCTTTACTCACAATAAACATTTGGCGAAATCACCTGTAGTGTAGGTGCCGGGGGACCTTTACAAGCGACACTCGCGCAAACAAACGAAAGTAGATCGAGCAGAGACCCGATATAGCTGGCATGCTGACGAATCTGGAGGCAGTATACGGAGTCCTCCTCAAAGGATCATTTTTTTTTGTATTGGCATCGATACGTGCGTTGTACAAGTAGTTTCTACCCTACAGCTATCTCTACTTATCTAAAACAAAATACTCAATGTTTTTTTCATTGGAAAATTTTTACATGACAAAATTGAAATTTGAGCACATGTTCGTTTGTCTCTAGCTGGTCAGCTCATTTACCTGGTCAATTTTTACGAAAAGCTGGCTGCAGCCGCCAGCGCTCGGCGAAACAAAACACGCGGGCTGGGCCGGGCGCGCGCTGCAGGCCGCTCACGATCCCCGTTACAACACGTCCAGTCTGTCTGTGTGTTCGTTGCACTCGGGTCCCGGCTGGTCCCGGCCCAGCATCTCCCTCTGTCTTTGTTCCACTGCCTGTACTGCCCCGCCGGCTCCTGGCTGCCTCCTGACCGACTCACCAGCCCACCCGGCTCCATAGCAAGCAGCTGATCTTTTCCCTTTCGTTTTCTTTTTAGTTTTAGTCCGCGCCGTAAAAAAAGGCCAAACAGCAGCAGAGAGAGATACAAACGGTAACAAAAGTCCCATGGAGTGGCGCCGCGCGCCGGTGCGCCAGCTACCCTTGATTAGTCGGACACTTTAATGACGCAACCTGGCGTGTGTCGCGCTGACTCTGCGGTAACGGCCCGGCTATGATGCTCGTCTTCCCGTCGCGGTCCACACAGCGCGGGGCGTTACCCTCTGGCCCGACCACCACCATAGAGAACACAACAGAGGAAAACGAGCGCTCAGGAATCTGGGCATTCTCCCGCGCTTTCCTACATATTTTTGCCTCCTTTCTGTGTGGCCCCCTTCTCTTCTCAATAATAATAATAATAACGACAACAATATCCCGGCGCGGCGGCTGAAAAGCGATAGTGTGAAGGTCGCCGGCCGCGCACCGCTCGCGTCGGCTCGTAACGTTTATCTCCCATTGTGCGGTCCGCCCCGCCTGCCCCATAATCCTGGCCAAATACATTGACAGTGAAAGACATCCGCGGGCTCGTATTTCAGCTCGCGACCTCGGCCGTTATGACCGTGGCGTGCCGCTCGTCTGGCGGCCAGCTGACCGGGGCGGGGCGAGACATAGCGGCCAGATCAGAAGCAGCGGTGTGCGGCTGTGCTCTGCTCGGCCAATAACCCAGTTTACCCCAGCTGTACGTGTTTCCCGTGTCGCCGCCTTGCTTGCTGCTCGGTGCTCTGCTGCTTTGGGTGGAGCCCAACCAAGACAGTTCATTAGCCCATG